GTTTTGAGTTCGAGCCCCACAATGCGTGTGGAGATCACTTCAAAATAAAAATTAAAAAAAAAAAAAAAGGTTTAATTGCATTAGAGTTTATACTTTGGTCAAAGTATGACTGTTTTTGAAATTCTAATGAGCCCCTAAAGACTAGAGTACCCTTGGTTACATAAGGCACTGGGGGTAGACGTGAGTAGTTGTGTTAATGTAATATGTATCTACTAGTTGAATAATTTTGATAAAAATGACAGATCATACTTTTCCTGGCACCCACAGTAACCTCCCAGACATTAAAATGAAATATATGTGACAGAAAAAAACCAAACTAGTCTCTCTGATTTCCATTAAATATATGCATATGCTTTTCAAAAAGTCAAGTTCTCTTAGTTAGATATTTACAGTTATGCTTGACAGAATATACTTCAGATTTATCATATTCAATAAAGTTTTAGTTATAAGTAGTAAAGGAAAAAATTCGGGGAAATACAAAATAGAATATGAAAAAGTAGCAAACAATTATACTGTGTTTCTGGAAAGAATTCGTCTCCTTTCCATCCTTAAATAACTACCTCGAAGCACAATTTATAAAAGGATAAACACAAAGAACTATTGTTAAGTTCACGTATCTTTACAATTCTAAGCAAGACTGGATTCCAGAGAGACTGCAATACATTTTATCACTATGGCTTCATGTCTCAAGGGAAATTTATTCTCTTTCAAGATAAGAAATAATGAACACTTTGCCACCTCTACAAAGTTATATCAACATTAATATTTTTTCTAGCTACTTAGCTTTCCATTGTATGCTTAACTGATGCAATCAGTTCCCTATTATGGATATGTAGATTATTTCCTTTTTCTTTTTTCTGCAATATTTATCCTTACATATTTATCTCTGAGCACTTTTCTGTTTTCAAGTTTCAGGCAAAACTCCAAAAACTCAAATTACTGTGTCTTCTAGCAATGTACCCTCAACAACACGGCTATTATCATTCTTCCTGGTTTTGTCTAAACTACAATTTTCCTCTCCTTTGTTGATTGCCTGCTTTGTATTTATTCTTTAGTAAATTGATTATTTGGGTCCCATGTTTCTTTTTACAAATTGATTGGTTTAGTCATTGATTTTTTTTACTTAAAAATGCTCATCATACATACGTTTATGTTTATTTACTTATTTATTTACTTATTTAAGTAATCTCTACACCAAACATGGGGCTTGAACTCATAATCCCGAGATCAAGAGTCACATGCTCTTCTGACTGAGCCAGCCAGGTGCCCCAAAAATGCTTATCACATATTACGGATATATTAACCTTTGGTCTATTATACATTGTAAATATTGTTTCCAGTCTGTCATTTACTTTTTAGTCTCATGTTGGTTTTTGTCATACAAAAGCTTTTGGTTGTCCATATTCAAATCTTTCATCTTCTCCTTTGTGATTTTTCCCTACAGTATATGTTTATGCTTCCAAAATCCTTTTGTATTATTATTACCCCAAATTATATAGGGATTCACCTGTATTTTCCTCTAGTTCTGTTGTTTTTATTTTTTAATTTTATTTATTTTTTTTTAATTTTTTATTTATTTATTTGAGAGAGAGA